CCCCATCACAAACCAGTGGGTCCCACCCATAATTAAAACCACACCTCTTCCTCTCTCCTCTCTCTTCTCTCCTCTCTCTCTCTCTCTCACGTTCAATCTAACATTTTCTCTCCCGGACGGAATGTTACAGGTAAGTATATAAAAACAAAATTCTCCAGAGTTTCGGCTTCTCCCAGTCGTCTGCCAGTTAGTTCCGATTTCTATCCACCGTCGTCGATGGCTTTCTCACCTCGACCAATAGGCTAATTTTTGGAGAGATCGCCGGCCGCCAATCGACGGCATCCCATCGGAAAAACATCTTCCTCCGTGTTGGAAACAAATTTAACCATTGTTGATTTGAAACAAGAAAGCAAGAAAGAGCTGTCGTTATGTGATTCTTAACAACGATGTAATTTATGGTTAAGTGAGTAATTTGGGATGATTTGAACGTAAAGCATGTAAGATCGAATCACTAATGGCCCCGGTCCGAGGTGAACCGAGGTGAAGAGCCGTGATGGGCTTTTACGTGTTGCTTAATCAAGGGTATACAGTTCGGTAATTTGGAGAAAAAAGAGATCCTTTTACAGTTGTCATAGGTCCGCTATTTATAGTAGTTTCGGATTGATACATTGGGATCCGTGTGCTACTTTTTGAATAAAGTGGCTTTTTATGGGCGGTTTGAGGCAGGGGGTCCCCACGTAAATGATGACAGATCTTGTGGAGCAGGAGAGTCTCTCGTAGATGCCTTGTCACCTGCTTAAGGAGGTGACGACCTCGGTTCATGCTGTCCTCGGTGGATGTTGACCTCGGTAATCGTTGATCACTTCGGTCTTTGGTGGTTCAGACCGGTTATTTGGTGTTGATCGGTGCGGTTCTGATTCATGTCGGTTTAACAGTTTAATCGCATTTTATAGGATGCCTAAAACCTCTTAACAGCGTCTTGCCGAGTCGGATGATAACAAGAGCAACAATGAAGAAGATAGAATGATTTCAATATATTTGTTGATAATGAGATCGAATACAATATGGTATATTTGTATTCCTAACAAGAGGGATCTAGAACCTTAAAGGATAAGATCAAAGACTATGATGAGTTGTCACTACTTGCCAAAACACCATAACAAACTCCTAATGAGCCAAACAACGGCTAGTTGGCTGTTGTACTATGCTGAGGGAGAAAGCACGTGCATGGCCGTGCATGAGAGAGAAAAAGAGATTAACTCTAAATAATTAGGTTAACTGGACACTTAAGCATATCTAACAGTCCCCCCTCAATTCAAGCGAGCTAAGAGAAGCAACTCTCAACTTGTTGCGCATGCGAGAGAAGAATTGACCAGTGATAGGCTTGGTCAAAGGATCCGCTGCTTGGTCAATGGCTGGAATATGGAGAAGTGTGATGGATTTGTTGAGCACCTTTTCTCTAATGAAATGAAGGTTGACTTCAATTTGTGTGGTCCTTCCTTGAATCACCGGGTTACAGGACATAAAGACAGTGCTAAGGTTGTCCACCCAAACAGTAGGTGGAGGGAGCTTCCTTAAGTGAAGCTCATGAAGGAGGATCTTTATCCACAGAACTTCTGAAACAGCAGATCCCAAGCTTCTATACTCTGCTTCAGCACTGCTTCTTGAAACGGTATGTTGCTTCCTTGAGCTCCAAGAGATGAGATTGTCACCAATGAACACACAATGCCCTGATGTTGATTTTCTGTCATCAGGATCAGAGGCCCAGTCAGAATCAGAAAAAGCAGAAAGATGAAGATGAGAGGACTTGACAAAGGAAAGTCCATAGTCTGCAGTGCCAGCAACATATCTAAGAAGTCTCTTCATAGCTTTCCAATGTGGTTCAAGTGGAGACTGCATGAATTGGCTTAATTTATTGACTGCATAAGTGATGTCTGGTCTTGTGATTGTCAAGTATTGAAGACAACCAATGAGTTTGTCTATAATGAAAGGGGTCTGATAAAGGATTACCATTGGAACCAGGTGAACTGATCATGGGAGTTGCAAGTCCCTTGGAGTTACTCATATGAGCTTTAGCAAGAATCTGAGAGATATAGTGTTGCTGAGTGAGCAGTATACCGTTTTTAGTGTAGTGGATTTCCATACCCAGAAAATGGTGCAACTCTCCCAAATCTTTCAAAGAGAACTCTTTAGATAAGAAATGGATTATATCAGCAATGAGGAAGGTGGAACTTCCTGTGATTAAAATGTCATCCGCATAAACAAGTATGTAGATAATGTGAAAAGATGTTGTCTTGATGAAGAGTGATGTATCTGCAAGAGAGGATTTGAACCCCAAGTGAAGGAGCACTGTAGAGAGCTTGTCAAACCAGGTTTTGGATGTCTGCTTAAGCCCATAAATGGCTTTGTGAAGCCTGCAGCCATATCCAAGTTCCTTTTTAGTTTCAAAACCAGGTGGTTCCTCCATATATATCTTAGTGGTTGAGTCAAGTTCTCCATTTAAGAATGCATTGTCCACATCAACTTGCTTAATTTGCCACCCTTTGGTCACAACAATAGAGAGGATCAATCTGATGGTTACTGGTTTGATGACTGGGCTAAAAACTTCATTGAAGTCTATGCCTGCTACTTGTGTGTACCCTTTGGCCACTAGTCTGGCTTTGTACCTTGAGATACTCCCATCTGCATTGTGTTTCACCTTAAACACCCACCTGCAGCCTACAGGTTTTCTATTTGATGGTAAGGAGACCACACTCCAAGTTTTGTTTTTGAGAAAGGCCTGATATTCTGCCTCCATGGCTTGTCTCCAGTGTGGTATGGAAAGAGCTTCTTCTAAAGTATTAGGCTCCTCAGTGGTCATTGAAACAAAATCGTATACATTTAAAGAGATCGAATAAAATAAGAGTAAATAGGGGCAAAAACAAAAAAATAATCAACGTCTCCGGAAAGGCTTGTTTTCGAACACGACACCATTATTTGATGTGGATAACATATATTTCTCGCACTTTCGCATTTCGAAGCAAATTCGTATACATTTAAAGAAGTCGAGGAAAATAAGAGTAAATAGGGGCAAAAACGAAAAAATAATCAACGTCTCCGGAAAGGCTTGTTTTCGAACACGACACCATTATTTGATGTGAATAACATATATTTCTCGCACCATCGCGTTTCGAACCAAATTCGTATACATTTAAAGAAGTCGAGGAAAATAAGAGTAAATAAGAGGGGGATTTTCAAAATGGGGAAGGGTACTCCTCAACAAGGCTAAGGACAGGTCCTGGCCACAAAATGGTTGGGGTATCCTCAACCTCGGCCTCGTCACCTGATCAATGATTATATCAAACACTGCCTACTCCATCATCGATCCATTGCCGTATTTGGCTTAATTATATATATTATTGTTTTGAATAATTACTATATAAGTATCGTATTTACCATCCTACCACCAAATAGTTTCTGAATCCCTAAGACTGTTGTTTTTTTTTTTTAAATGACTTTTTAATTCT